GTGTAGGAGAACAGATTCAAGTCATAATAGCCATCCATATCAAAGCAGCAATATGGGCTGTCATGTGGTTGACTAGGATCATCTTGGCCAGCTCATGTTTTAACACAAACTGTTGGGGAAACTGGAAAGCAGTCTAGCAGATACTAAGTATAGAACAATAGCTTATACCTTATGCACATCTCTTGCTAGAGAGGTGAGAGAGGTGAAGGGCTCAGAGTATATGTCTTAGATATTACACCTTATCAGGGAAACTTACTGCAAATATCTGTGCCCCCCCCCATTTAACTTTTGTGTAATTTTTAAAAATTTTAAAGTAATCAAAATTGTCCACTTTGTATTTTATACTCATATTTTGTGTATTTCCTATCATAGTTTGTGCATTTTCTTCCCTGTGGTCTGGCCCTGACCTCTGCTGTTGGCTTGACTCTGTGACTCCTTTTTTACACTTCAACAATACTCTCCCTTATAATATAGTTTAAGGTCTGACACTGCTGAATCTGCTTCCTTTACATCTTTTTTTTTACTGTTTCTTTAAAGTTCTCGAACTTTTGCTCTTCCAAATGAACTTTGTTACTTTTTCTAACTCAGCAAAATAGTTTTTTAGTAATTTAATTGGGATGACATTAAATAAATAGATTGTAATTTTAAATTACATTTAAATTAAATCAAATAAATAAATTGTAATTTTAAAAATTATATCGGCTTTACCCACCTATGAACAATAAGTATTGCTTCACTTCTTTAGGTCTGAGTTTATTTGTATAAAAAGTGTTTTGTGTTTATGTTCATATAGTTCCTGTGTCTGTTTTGGCATTTAAATACTCAGGTATTTTATACTGTCTTGGTATTTTAATTGGTCTAAAACAATGTTGAATAATGTTGCTGATGTAATATAGTTTCTCTGTTTTTCACTTTTGATTAAATATATTTTAACTTTAACTTTGAGATCGTGATTACTATCACTGCTTTTTCTTTTTTGAGAGGCAAAACACAATTATAAAACATTCTTTATGCAAATGAAGACAGATTTAACTAATTGGAGAAATATTACTTGATTATGGATACCCCAAGCCAATATAATAAAAATTACAATGCTACCTAAATTAGTTTACATATTCAGGGTCACACAACTATTAAGTGTCAAGTCTCTGGTCTGAGACTGGATTTGGACTCAGTTCCTCCTGACTCCAAAGCGGGTGCTCTATCCACTGTGCCACCAAGCTGCCCCTCTGCTTCTTTTACATAATAAATTCTACTCCTGCCCTTTATTTTATCTTGTGTGTATTTCTCATTTTTATGTTTCCTGAAAGCAACAGATTGTTGGAATCAAATTTTTAATCTGCTATCCATTTTTGTTTTATGGGTAAATTTGATCTATTCTCATTCTATGCTATAATTACTTATTTTCTTCTTTCCTATTTTTCCTCACTATCCTTCTCATCCTATTTACCCTATCTGTCCTCACTCCTATGCTTTACTTCTACCTGCTACCTTGCCCTTTTATTCCTTAACCTACCCACCCCTCTAAGAGGCCCTCCCTTATCCTCTTCCCCTACCCTTGCCCTCTTATTTCTTTTTGAATTTAGAAGACTTTTATAATATATACATACATACTTATATACGTATACACACACACACATATACATATACATACGTATATTTCCTTCTTTAACCCATTCCTGATGAGAGCAAGGTTCCAGCACTACCTGCCCTCCCCCTTATTAGCTTCTTCTGTATCAATTTTTCCTTTTAATGCCTCATTTGCATAGGATAATTACTTCTTTTTATCTGTCTCTACACAGTTTTTTTTAGAATCACCCCATCATACTCAGCTCAGCCCAAGACTTTCTTTCAAACTACCCAAATAATAATGACAATCATAAGAATACTGCTAATATTTTCACATATACAAAGTAAACAATTCGACCTTATTGAGTCCCTTATAATTGGTCTTCAGTATTTACCTTATATCTCTACTGGGTGTTATATGTCTCATTTTCCCTTAAGTTCTAGGTTTTTTGTCACAAAAACCTGAAAGTCTTTGAATTCGTTAAATGTCCATTTTTTTTTTCCATTTAGAATTATGCTTAACTTTGCTGGGTAAGTTACCTTTGGTTGTAACCCCAGCTCTTTTGCTCTATGGAATATAGTATTCCAAGACCCATGGTCCTTCAATGTAGTAGCTGCTAGGTTTTATGTAATCCTTATTGTAACTCCACGATATTTAAATTGTTTTTTTTTTTCTTGTTGCTTCCAATATTTTCTCCTTAACCTGGGAGCTTTGAAACTTGGCTATGATATTACTATAAGGTTTCCTCTTGGGATCTCTTTCAGGTGTTGGTTGATGGATTTTTTCTATTTCTGCTTTGTCTTCTTGTTCTAGAACTTCAGGGCAATTTTCCTTCATAATTTCTTGTAATATTATGTCAAGATTCTTTTTTTTAATTGTAATTTTCAGGGTAGTCTGACTATTCTTATATTATTTCTTCTCTATCTGTTCTCCAGATCAGTTGTTTTTCTGATGAGATATTTCACTTTCTCTTCTATTTTTTTATTCTTTTGATTTTTTTTTATGATTTTCTGGTATCTTTGAATGTCATTAGCTTCCCCTTGCCCAATTCCAGTTTTTAAGGAATTATTTTCTTTGTTAAGTTTTTGATTCTCTATTTCAAGTTGGTTGACTTTCTTTTCATAATTGTCTTAGATTTTTCTTATCTTTTTAAAATTTTTTTCTCAATTTTTCCTAATTGATTTTTAAAATCCTTTTTTAAGTTCTTCCAAAAACTGTGTTTGTGCTTGGGACCATTTGACACTTCTCATTGAAAAATGAGTGGCTTTTTTTAAGCTCCATTATCTTCCTCTAAATATGAACCCAGACCTTCTCTATCTCCATAATAACTATCTATGGTTGGGTTCTTTCTCCTTTGCTAATTCATTTTTATTTATTTATTTTTTTGTTTTATTTTGTTTTTAACAGCTATTAGTGCAATCACATTGTAGTTGGTCCCAAGGTATGGGGAATGATGCCCCAAGTTTCGGGTCCTTCTTACTGTTATTTTCTCTGGTCTGTCTCGGGGCCCAGCCTTGGGTTCTCCTCTCCACTCATAAGCCATGGGTGTGGCCCCCTGCCACACTGTCCCCAAAATGATCTTGCTCCCTGTTGTCCCTCCTGTGGCTGTAAACTACAGCTGTCCTTTCTGCTCTGGAACTGAAACCAGGGACTTTGCTCTCCTGTAAGTGGCTGCAGCCAGCAGGGTCCCTGTGCTTCTGCTATTGCAATCACCAGGTATGTGCTAGCTCCTTCTCCTCACAGTCACAGGCCGGGAAACATCTGGTTAGCACAGCTGTGCTTGGCATCCCTCAACAGTGGAAAGTTCTTCAATCTTCTTGTACTCAGGGGTTAGACCCCCAAATTGTCTGCGAGATGCAAGTTTCTAAGGCTGAGGCTGCCTCTTTTTTTTTTTTTAAGGCAATTGGGTCTAAGTGACTTGCCCAGGGTCACACAGCTAGTAAGCATCAAGTGTTTGGTCTGAGGCCAGATTTGAACTCAGGTGCTCCTGACTCCAGGGCCAGTGATCTATCAACTGTGCTACCTAGCTGCCCCGCTGAGGCTGCCTCTTAACCCAGCTACCCACAGGACTTGTTTGTGGGTTCTGCAGGGTTGGTGACCTGGAGGTATCTGCATTTCACTCAGGTAGAACCTCTGCCCCTGGAGGCTTCTCAAATTGTCGTAGGACAGGCCTGCACAACTTGTGGCGTACAGGCCACACACCAAAGGATTTCTGGCAGCCTGGAAAAATGTAAAGGATGTTTTCCTTTACATTTTTCACAGCCTTCCCAAAATTATTTGGCAGGTCACAGGTTGTGCAGGCCTGTTTTAGGAGGACAACTGCTTTACCCCGTGTTTATTTCTGCTGCTGTGGGCAATGTTTTATCTTTTTTTGTGGAGGAAATTTGAAGAGTTGAAAGTTTTCTGACCTACTCTGCCATCTTCCTAGGATCCTCCCTTCTCCCTGCCAAGTCTCCATCCAGCCTGTAAGGCCATACCTGGAACTTTTCAGGGGATTACACCTTCTAACTCTCTTTCAGCAAAGACTATAGGGAAGAGAGCAGCTGGCCCTTAGACTTTTGTGACATAATCCTGTCAATTCTTGACATCTTTCAAAATGAGCTAAATTTGATGGTCTCCAAGGATACAAAGTATTGCACTGGCAGCTCTGAAAGCATGTTTGTCTACGATGTTCAAAATTTGTTTTCACCTCAAAGATGGCAAGGTTCAGAGGAATCTGAAAATCATGTTAATTTTTTTGGTTGCAATCTGTATCCCCATAGTAACTATCTATGTTTGGGTTCTTTGTCCTTTGCTAACCCAAAGAAAGTTTTCCCAGTGTTCTAAGACTTTGCTCCTTGCCCACTTTGCAGTTTGAAGTCCTGAGACCCCATACTTTCCTACCCCCTAAAACCACTGGCTTTAGTCCCTGGCTAATTTGGAGATGTATTTTGAATGACTGTGTATACACACACACACACACACACACACACACACACACACTCACACACACACACACACATACACACATATATATGGTAGTGTATGTCTTGCCTTCTCAATGATTAGGGGAAGGGATGAAGGGAAACAGAAAATTTGGAACTGAAAATAAAAATATAATTTAAAAGTAAAAAAAGAGACAAGTTTTAGGCTTTGTAAAGTTAAAAAAAATGAAGCAAGTATCCCCACATGTGTCCCCAGCTTTACTTTTGGGGAGTCATTTCCACTTCTTTCTGATGCTTTAACACTGGTAACCCTAACCCCAGTTGTCAAATCTTTTACCACTTTTGCTCCTCACTCTGCCCCTAGCTTGTGGGCACATGCCCACCACAACAATTTCACTATTGCCCATCCTGTCAGACTTCCTCGTCCTAGCCTCTGCAGAACTTAGGAACCAACTTAGTAGGAACCCTGCCTTTGCCCACATGTCTTAGTCACCTCTGGGACTCACCAGGTCTGAAGCTATCAGTGGCTGAGTAGAAATAGTACGCCAACAAGAATCCCAAGGCAGGGAGGAAGCACTTTTTCAGCAGAGCCATTAGGTAAGGACTTTCTCAGGGAGCTCTATGGGGCATGCACTCCTGAGAATGTTTTAGGAGCAGCTTTTAAATGCAAAGCTGCAGAAAGAGAGTACAACATAATAAAAAATTATTTGACTAGTTTAATAAATTAATGTTCAACTAGAAGGCAATTAGCATAGATAAATTTTGAACTTTGCTCAACACAAAGTACCTGGAGACTTACCAGGAAAACATGTGGCATTCTTTGTTGTATAGTCACAGATTTCTGAGCCTCCTCACCTTAGCAAGGCAGAACATCCTAATACCTGACTGTCTAGGGCACCAGGATTCAAATGAATCCACTGATATATCGACTGGATCCATAGGCCTGAGGTACCAGTGATCAGTCAGTCAGAAGAATGGAAGGAGGGTTGTAGTCAGGCCTGACCCCATAAATGTTGAGCTCAACTGTACACACATACATATAACACACGTGTGTATATGGGTGTATATGTATATATATTATATATACATGTTTATACACACACACACACACACACATATATATATATATATATATACATATGCACTCTTCATTCTCAGTCACCCCATGTGTTTAATCACTGTCAAGTGTTGTTACTTCTCAACATCTCTTGTATGGGTCACCTTCTCTCCTCATACTAAGACACCACCCCTAGTTCAGGCCCTCATTACTTTTTGCCTGAATGATTGCAATAGCCTTGAAATTGGGCTTCTTCCCTCAATTCTTTCCTTATTCCAATTTATTCTCCACAAAGCTGCCAAAGTAATTTTCCTCAACATCCTAGGTTCGACCGTTTTATTTCTCCTCCTGCTCAATAAACTCCAGTGTCTCTCTCTTATCTCTAGGCTCAACAGTACAGCCCTCTGTTTGGCCTTTAAAGCTGTTCACACCCTGGCCCCTCCTTATCTTTACAGTCTTATAAACTTTACAGGCCTCCAGGTACTCTGATACAGCCGTACCGGCCTCCTTGCTGTACTTCGCACTTCACATTCTCATTTCTGTCTTTGTGCACTAGCTGACTGTTCCCCATGCCTGGAAAGAGCAATACTCACGGCCTTTTAGAATCTCTGACTTCCTTCAAGATTCAATTCAAATTCTAGCCTTTCCTGGTCTTCTTTATGGCTAAGATTTTCCAATCCAAGGTTAGCTACTTTGCATCTTCTTCTGTATATGTTTTATATATACTTACTATGTATGTATTGTTTACCTCATTAGAATGTAAGCTTCTGGAGGACAGGGACTGTTTGTACTCCCAGGATTCGGCACAGTGCCTGGTACACATTAAGGGCTTAGTAAATGCTTGATGGTGGTTAACTGATTGATTTTGATGACTCTCCTAGACCACAGAGTTTGAAGCACATATTGAGTCAACTTTGGCAGGATGCCTGTGCTCCTTAGCCCATTTCTTTTCAAACATATGGTTTTATATGTATTATGTAAATAATATTTGTATATGAGTCTGTTCCTTCATTTGTAAAAACAGGGATAATAATACTTGCATTAGTAATCTCATAGGTGGTTTAAAATGCAAATTCAAGTAGTTGAAGGTCTGTTATGTAGAAGAACTTTTTCGAGGGCCAAGATGTTGTAGAGTAGTAGATTTTGTTTCAATATAAGAAAGAACTTAATGATGAGTGGTCCAAAAGAGGAATGGGTTACCTTAGGAGGGAGCAGATGCCCTTCATTTACTATCTTCAAGGAGTGACTCTATAACTTCTCATTTGAGATGGGAATCATTTGCTAGGGGTTGTTTGGATGGAATGGACACTGAGGTCCCTTCTGGTGCTGAGGTCCCTTGGGAACCTCAGTGTCATCCTTAACTCTATATATACATATGTATATGTATGTGTATATGTCCAGATATAGATATATTTGCAACTATCTACCTTTACATATAATTACATACATTATAATTATTATTACATTATGTATTTGGTTGAGATCTACATTTTAAGTATAGGGCATCTAGGTGGCACAGAGGATAGAGTGCCAGGCCTGGAGTCACCAGAGTTAAAATCTGGCCTCAGACACTAAGCAGCGTGGCACAATGGATAGAATATTGGACTTAGAATTAAGAAGACCGAAGATCACATCCCACCTACAATTTACCAGCTGCGAATGACCCTGGGCAAATTATTTAACTTCTCTGTTCCTCAGTTTTTCATCTGTAGAAGAAGGGTGCTGGACTAGTTGGCTTCCAAATTCCCTTCTGGCTCTAAACGTATGATCCTTTGTACCTATGAAAGCATGTTCCACAGAGAAAAGTGAGGTAGCTGGTCAACAAATTGGACAAATCATTGCACAGGTTACTTGATTTGCTCAGATAATTATTCACAACACGTTTTGAAAGAGCAGTAGGTTTTTTTTTTTTTTTTGAGGGGCAGGTTATCAATGTAGAGGGCAAGCTCCAGTAGAGTTTTTTATTTTATTATTTAAATTTTTTTTTCAGTTGCTAAACATTTATTTTTTCCCTCTCTACACCCTCAGCACTGGGAAAAAAAAGAAAAACAAAACTCTTGTAATAAATAAACAGTCAAGCCAAACAAGTCCCTACATTGGCCTTATCAAAAAAAATTGTTTCATTCTGCATTAGTCAATCTTCTCTCTGTCAGGAGGTGGGGAGTAGTCTTTACTTTTGGTCCTCTAGAATCAGGTTTGATTGTTGTATTGATCAGAGTGCTTAAGGCTTTCAAAATTGATCATTTTACATTGATGTCATAGAATACATTGTTCTCCTGGTTCTGCTTGCTTTGCATTAGTCTATACAAATCTTCTTGGGATATGTTTTTGATTGCAGTCTGTTCAAGATTTTCAGCAATGACCTGAATGAAGGTATAAATGATATACTTATCACATTTGTGGACTCCATGAAACTGGGAAACCCGGTTTTCCACATGTAAAATAGCCAGGCATTGCTGGACAATATTATTTCTATCTTCTAAATAAGTCTTTTGAAAAGATAAGTTTTCCAGGAGGTTCTGTTTTGCATTCACGTTGAACTCTTTAGGCAGATCCCATTCTCCTACTTGCTGGAATATGTAGAGAAAGCAAATCCATCCTTGCTCAACAGATAATAATAATATTTATAGCATATGTAACTCCTATAGCATATAAGATTTATAGCATGAAGTCTAGAGACCTCTGCACCAGCACGAAGAAAAACTTAATGAACATAGACATGTAGTAGTTCAGGTTTAATGATACTTCTAAAATATCAAAAGGGGTGGAGATGAGAGACTGGTTATATATCCTATTAAATCTGTAAGTTCCTCTACTTTCTCTAGAATTCTAGAAGTTTCCTTAATGATCCGTATTTTTACTTGAGAGCCAGTGACAGTTTTTACCTCCCTATTATATATTATAGTAATGTAGTTGATTGTTTTCTGTAGCTATTGTTTGGATAGTAGTTTGGCAAAAATATCCACACTTAGAAGTGGGGACCTGGATTTCAAGGGTAATATTTTTCTGTGGGACATTATTATCAGTAATTTTACATGGAACTAGGACAAGGAGGACCTGGGTTTAAATGTCCAATTTTGTCTTAAATCTGACGCCTAGGCACCTTTACAAATGGTAAATATGATCAGGAAGACAAAAAAAAAAAAGGAACAGGGCAAGCATCTTAATATCCATTTAGAAAATTATCTTGTTCCATTGCCTTGAGTTTAGCTGTCTATTTCATGAAGTAATCTTCTTCTGGGAAACATTTTCCCTATAATGCTGAGTTAAAAAAGATCTGTTCCAGATCACTGTTCACAAATCATCCAGATTTGTCTACTTACACTGAGATGGGCCTTTCTATCTTGTTTATAGGGCAGATTTGTAGAGGTGTGTGTGTGTGTGTGTGTGTAAAATAGGTCCACTTGCTAGGTTCCAAGTCATGAATTGCCTCTTGTAATCATTTCCTACTAGTGATAGGACTTAGTATATTTTAACAAGGCCTGACAAAACCTAATCACATTAGCCTTTGAGTAATTATTTCATATGATAAAAGTCTTATGGTGTTAATCTTACAATCATCAGTGCTAGAGAAGAAACATCAAACCAGGGTACCAGTAATTTATCTAAAAGAGAGTTTCATGTTTATATACCATTTATTCTTTCTGTCTTGCCCAAGACTTATAGGTGATATGGACAATGCAGTTTATAGGTTAGAATCTTTTTTCTTTGCTTTCAAATTTTTTTCCCCAATTACCTGGAACATCTAGTCATACAACAGAGTGAGAGAAAAGCTGATGTATGGCCAGGCTCCTGGAGGAAATTAGAGAAGATGAGGTCAGGTATAGAGAGGAATGGAGAAACTGAGGAAAGGAGAGCTGGAGATGTAGAGAAGTTTTGAAATGTGGTACAGGGGAGAATAAGAGAGGGGAATCTCACAATGGATGATTTCAATTTTCTGAGTAAAGTAGAAAGCAAAGTTATTCATACACAAAGGTATGGAGGTAGCATTGGGGGATTGAAGAGAGATGAAACAGATTTGGAATAGCTGTTGTGGGAGCATGATAGAGTCATCTGGAAGGACTAAAGAACTGCTGTGTAGCATCAAGGGTGAAGGTGAGATTTGATTTAGGATTTACGGTACTCCTAAAGGAGGCAACTCCTTTTACCAATGCAGATAAATAGCTACTTTACAACTTAAAGAGGTGACCTGGGGCACTGAAAGGTTAAGTGATTTGCCTGGAATCATACAGTCAATATAATTAGATAATATGAATTTTTTGGTGGGCCCAGCCTGCATGCTTCCTGTATTCTCTCCAGCCACATTCTGTGCTTGGTGGCTGTAGTGCTGTGACTCCCTCTGTAGTTCCACTTTCTTTTCATAGGTGATTCCAGGTGTTTCTTTTTTACTGCTTTCACCTCTCCACCCTCTGCAATCCACTATACTTTTTTTTTTAAGTTTGCTTTTGCTCCCAGCAGGTAGCCCCAGGTGCTATTCTCTAATCTTTAGGGAAAAATCTCCAAAGAGCTCTCATGGTCTGGAACGTATGTAGCCCTCTTTGAAGTGGAGGGAGCCGTAAGTCTTTTCTCTATGATGGCTGGGTTAGGCATCTATCACC